AGACATATTAATATATATATATATATATATATATATATATATATAGTAAAGTAATTCAAAATAATAACACCTAGTATCTCAATGACATTAAAATAAGACTGATCTGAATTCACTGGAAACATCATACATTTAGATTTTATTCATTCATTTGTTCATTTATATAGTTCAAAAATATTACCACAAGTCTGCTTTTTCTTTCGTGCAGCCACAACTAGCAATACAGCAGAGATCAGGAGCAAAGCCAAACCTCCTGCAGTGATGATGATGATGAATGAATCTGAAAACACAAAAGATAAAATAAACCACTCGGTTGGTTCTCAGAATTAAATGATGATGTTTATGCGAGAGAAACATGAGCAGTGAGTGTGTGAGATGTGAAGAGGCGTTTACCTGAGTCAGGTCCAGACGTCTGCGCTAACAGAGTTTGAGGAGTCAGAGGAGCTGATGAAACATGTGTGCTTGTTATTAAAAACAGATTGATGGTTGGAAATTCAGTCGTCCTCTCATCTAAAGTGACAATAAAGATGAAATATTGTTCAGTTATACTAATACATGAGCACAATGCAATGCCACATTTGTGTTGGGTCTCAAATTGACCCCCATTGGTTTCCATGCTACCTGATTTTTTGACTGTGGAACTCAAATACATGAAGAAAGATCAAATTTTCCTTGGATTATTCTGAAGATGAGTCTTCAATTTCAAGCAAACCTTGAGTCTTAAATTGTATCTGTTGTGACTGATTTTTGTTGAATTGCATGGAAACCAATGGGGGGTCAATTTGACCCCAACAAAATTGATGTATCCATAATTTGTACAGTCTTTCTAAAACACATATGTATTAAAACTCTGTATGCACACTGATAACCCTAAATGAGAAAAGTCACATGCATGCATGAGCTACTACAGCTACTGACTCGTTTTCATGTACATTTCTACTATAGGTCCATTTGTAGAAGTCACATTAATGTCTTACCCTGTTTAACCAGCAACAAGAAATCTGAATAGACATCAGTAGTTAAAGTCCTCTCCACAGCACACCAGTATAGTCCTGTATCCTCTGTTCTCAGATCAGTGATGCTGACGGTGAAAACTCTGGCCGTCGTGTCGTCAGTCAGAGAGAATCTCTTGTCTTTAGCTGGAGATCCTGATTTAACCATGATGATTTTATTTCCAAACTTACACTCGCCTTTACACAAATACTTGGAATTTGATTCATATCCAGATTTATAGGGGCATCTAATGTCAAGTCTCTCTCCTCTGTGTCCAACAATTGCAGTTTGAGCAACAACAACAGCTGAAAACAAAGCATCATTAGCCAGTATTATCACATTTGCTGTATTAAGAAATACTGTCTGCTGATTGAAGTGGAAAATTAGAGAAGTGTAAAACTGTCACACGCAGAAGAACTCACCGATATGCATGCAGGACCAGATAAGAAGAAAGCTCCACATGATGAGGATAAATGGCACTTTTGACTAAATTAAACCCTTAAAAAACAACTTTTTTTTTGTCTTCCTTGCTGACATGCATATGGTGCAATGCTTAACTTCTCCTTCCCCTTCCCTGTTTTTCTTACCAAATCCGTCACTACATGATGATATCATGACATTTAAAGCTTAATGTGCATATCAAAAAAATATCAGAACAGATCTAATTCATACAATTTGTTAGTGTTATTATGCTTTTATGTGGCCTCAGAACGTATTTGCATAGTAATTGCAGAGAGCATCACATTACATTTCTCTAAATGCACTTTTCATAATTGTCACTCAATTTCATTTAATACGCTTAAATTGTGTCTTGAATATAAATGCTTATTTTTTTATATTTTGTTATACAATGCAATGAGAATACATCGTTTAAAATTGTGAATTTTTGGGGATAATCATACGATCAAGCAACAAGAACTAGCAATTTGCCATTCAGTTCTCAGATAGATGGATTTATTAAATTAGATTGATTGATTGGATTGGATTGGATAGGTTGATTGGAATGGATAGATTAGGTTGGGATGGGGGATGGATGGACGAAAGGATGGATTGGGATAGATGGCAATTGCCTGTTATGTCTGATATATCTTCTCTAAAAATAAATATATAAATTAATGAATTATTTAAGATGGTTTGAGATGCTGTAGGGTATCAGAGGTAATCAGACAATTTAAGATTCGATCAGATTGGTGTTAAAACAACCCAAAGAGCCAAATTCCACAAAGAGGCCCAGGACAACGAGACAATGTCATAAATCTGTCCACGATACCCTAGCGCCAGCCAGTCTGAAGCAAGCCTACCCAACCAACTCTTTCACAGAACAGCTTGCAACATTAAAACAAAAGAACACATTGATGATTTCCCCAACCTAGAAGACAAGAACCAGACTTAGATTCCTTATGAAACCTTTTAACCTCTTTGGTCTTCACAGAATATGTCCTTTTGTTCACAGAACGACAGAGATACTGACTTTTCAGATGTAGATGCACCAAAATGATGCTAAAAGGACTTATAAGCAATTAATAATTTCTATGCATAACTACATATTATGTATGTAACCCACACATTTGACTATCATGTCCTAATCACTCATTATGTATGACTTTTGAATAACTATTGAATAGTTTATAGGTTTATATTCATGTTGGGTATGTTTGAGTTTGAAAATTCATGCTCATATCAATCAGTACTTTGTAAAATGTATTATATTCTTGTTATAGATATCATGTCCATAATTATCCGCTGCAAGAGCGGGAAAATTCGGACCATGTGACTGATAAGATAACATGTTGATTTATTAATTGGGAGGAGAAACATAGCAACACCCCGAGCTAAGACAATGTCTAATTGGTCAAGACACCATTTGGGATGTGTCCAACAGCCCGGTTTAAATACCCAGGACACCATCAAATTATGTTTTTTGCCTTGTCGGCTTTTAGCCGCTGCTTTTTGGCTTTTTAGCTTTTAGCTTTTTGCATTAGGTCTTTTAGCCATGCTTTTTGCCACTTTGAGCGCCGTTCCAGCGTGCTTCAGCCTGCACGCCCGCTGCTACTTAAGCACGATGAGAAGAAAAACCATCTAGTCTCATTACATCCATTTATTCTTTTACTTTAGTTTATTTTCTTTCCATTGAGAGTTTCGTGTTCTGAATTAAGTTTTGCCGCAACGCCTTGTCTCAGAGTCCGACCTCGACTGCCTGTCTAAAACTTCAACCAGCCCACCACTCCGCAACTTCAGCCAACGCCCAAGACTTTATTACGAACGACTACTCCATCCAGTCAGTAATTTTGGGAAACCCCTTTCTGCAACAGCGACAACAAAAGGAATCCCTTAACACAAAGGCAACGCAAGTACAACCTCCAGATTCTAGCTGAACTGGTGCATTTAACATAAATTTTAACCTCATTGAGGAACTCAATGTGAGGATTAATTAAATGATTGATGATTATTCAGGTCTATACAATTGCACAAATTGCTATAAACTTGGGTTTTCACGTTTGCATTCTCTTAAACTCATTATTTCCTCACTTTCTCTCTTCCTGCAACTTGTATGAATGTGTGAGTGTGTGTGTTTATGTGTTAGATTAGTTTATATTGTCTTAGATTTATCCAATAAAGTCTTATTTATATTGAAAAGAGAAGTATCTTGTGTTTTGTGCTTACAAGTTAATGTCTTAAACTGCTGATCTTGTTACTGTGCTAATAAATAGTGTTTTTACTATATTTTTGATATTCATATCCATGCAGAGTTGATGTTGTACGGCTCGTTCAATGAATCGCTGGCCGACTCAGTGATCAGCCGTAAAACAGTGATTCTGTCCAAATTCCCTATAAAATCTTAAATGATTCCCTTTGAGCTAAACTGACCTGTTTCCCTTACAATGGGGATGGATTGGATTGGGTTGGATGGATTAGGTTGAGATTGGGAAGGTTGAGCATTAGCTGCTATGCCTGTATCTTCTCTAAAAAGAAATGTATAAATGAATTAATTTATGATTTTATGATATATTGGAATGGGATGGATTAGGTTGGATGGATTGGGTTAGATGGATTGATTGATTGGGCTGGGGATGGACTGGGTTGGATGGATTTGGATGAATGGATTGGAAAGGGGATGGGGATGGATGAATTTATTGAGTTGGATTGATGGATTGATTGGGATGGATGGATTAGATTGCTTAGGGATGGACACTGCAGTGATGCAATGGTGAAATAACATGACCTGTAGTCACATTAAACTCACACACACATTTCTATACCATCACTGAGTCTCAATACTGCTAAATAACATCTACATTTATAGTTTTCATCCGGAGACATTTATTAATTCAAGACAACAATTCAATGATTTATCCTTATCGATTAAATCAACACATGACAAACTGATGAAAATTGGTAACACAATAAGTTTCCATTAGTTAATGTTAGGAAATGCATTAACTAAGAATGGGCAATACATGTGTTAAAGTGCATGGGATAGTAATAATATTAGATGGATGGATTGGGCTGGATGGATGGATGGAAGAATGAATTGGGATGGATGACAATTACCGGTTATGTCTGTAGTTGTTCTTCATGCAGGAGGTCTGGACGCACTTGTTGGAACAGGTGTTAATGTAGAAACTGTGGATATTAGAAATATTAGTAGGAAAAAAAGGTGGAGTTTGTGTGATGAAATAAACATAAATTCATAAATATGCTGTTAGAAAAGGAAAATGGTGATATTTATTTATGATGTTTGTTTAGGCTTTATCATAATCCAGAATTCTGATATTTCCAGACATTTAAGAAACACATAGGTAAAACTTTCAACAAGTCTGAACTGAGTAAGATTGTTAAACACTTCTAGTCAGGTCTTACATATCATTTTTCACAACTTCAAAGTAGCTTTCCTTAATAAAGTTGGAGTAAAATGACTTTAATTCCATAAAGTCATTTTCTGGTAGTTTGAAGCTTCTTTTAAAAAATTATGCCTTAATATATTTTATCTGTAAATTGAACCAGAATGCAAATCACTCTTCACATGAGCAAACTTTTCAGAAATACTTCAGCAACGGTAAACTATATGTTCATCTTACCAGAAATATGTTCTGCCTCTAAAAAGGTTATTTCAGCAACTCTAATTATACTTTTTTTTTTTTTTACAGAAAAAAATGTGCCTTCAATAATAGTCACATTTCTCTACCACTCCAGAAGACTGAATGCCACAAACACCATCAATCCAGCTTCAACTATTCACTAGCTAAGACGGCTGATAGGAAACAACGACCCATAAAACTCGCTAAAATAACTTCTGAAACATATTCAGTGCATAACTTACCCTCAATCACATGTAGAGTTACATAGTTGCACGTGTCTTTAAAAATCTGTCTACTGCGCAGATGTAAGTGCCAGAGTCTGATAACCGCAGGTCAGTGATGATCACGGTGAAGTCTGATCCTTCATCAGACAGAGTGTGCGAGTCGGAATCTGTCCCGTCTCAAATCGAATGAGAATATATGAAATGTGACGCTTTCTCCCACTGGAGCAGTTCGAGGATTCAGAGACTCCACTGGAAGTGCCAGACAGGATGTGACATCACATGAATAACTGAATAAATAGCACAAGTCAGTCCAAAAATCATTCATATTAAATGTCATCATGCCCCAGTCTTTAGATACTCATTTTCTCACAAAGAATAAGTGAATACTAACTCATCTGTGGAGATGTGGGAGAGGAAAACTAGAAAAATCCACATGCTGAAAAGACGCCTTCCTCCTGCGTGGCAAGACAAAGTATTTACTTCTCTTTTTGTCTCACCATCCTCTTGAGACATCTGCAGTGATGCAATGGTGACATAACGTGACCTGTAGTCACTCTAAACTCACACACATGTCTGTACCATCACTGAGTCTCAATACTGCTAAATAACATCTGCATTTTCACCAAGAGACTTTTATTTATTCAAGACAACAACTCTTTTTTTATTATTGATAAATTCAACACATAACAAACCGAGGACAATTGGTAACATTATACAATAAGGTTCAATTAGTTAATATTAGTTAATGCATTAATTAACAATGGACAATACATGTGTTACAGTATATGTGACCCTGGAGCACAGGTATATTTGTAGCAATAGCCAAAAATACATTGTATTTGTCAAATTTTTTTTTATGCCAAAAATCATTAGGATATAAAGTAAAGTTCATGTTCCATGGAAATATTTTGTAAATTTCCCACTGTAAATATGTAAAAACTTAATTTTTGATTAGTAATACGCATTGCTACGAACTTAATTTGGACAACTTTAAAGGCGATTTTCTCAATATTTAGATTTTTTTTTTGTCTTTTTTTTTTTTATGCCAAAAATCATTAGGATATAAAGTAAAGTTCATGTTCCATGGAAATATTTTGTAAATTTCCCACTGTAAATATGTAAAAACTTAATTTTTGATTAGTAATACGCATTGCTACGAACTTAATTTGGACAACTTTAAAGGCGATTTTCTCAATATTTAGATGTTTTTTTGCACCCTCAGATTCCAGATTTTCAAATAGTTGTATCTCGGCCAAATATTGTTCTATCCTAACAAACCATACATTAATGGAATAATGGAAGTCTTATTTCATTCAGCTTTCAGATGTATTTTAAAAAATGTACCCTTATGAATGGTTTTGTTGTCCAGGGTCATATACAGTATATTAATCATTGTTACCTCTAGTTAACAAAAATACAACATGTTAGCTCAGGTCCATTAAATAATATTAACATAAATACATTTAATAATTAATTAGTAAATCTTAATGTTAATAAATGCTTTAGAAGTACTTTTCATTGTTAGTTCATGTTAACTAATGTTAACAAAATGAACCTTATTGTAAAGTGTTCCTGAAAAATAATTTCAGGAAGAGCGTGAAGAAAATGTGATTTTTAATTGGCTGTTAATGAGCCATCTGCAGTCAGTCAGTAGTTTGATCAATACTCTGATAAACTGACTCTTTAACAAAATCAGGTTTCATTTTTGTGTTGATCTGAACCAAGTCTCGTTGTGTGAGATCTATGTAGCAGGCATCTGTGTTGGGTGCTGGTTCTGTGTATAGGCCTGTGAAAGTACTTGACAACTGAACTTTTATCACTTTGAGCCCTGGGTGAGTTTGTAAGGATGACTGAGCTCATTTTCACATACTTGTCCTGTAAAAATGAAGCTTTCATATCAGTAAGGACATGAGTTAGCTTTATAATGTGGTAATACTTGTGAACAAGATACCATCGACGACATGCTTACAACAACTTGAGCCGATGTCTTCCTGTTGTGACAAGACACAGAAACTGGAGGGGGGGAATGCATGCATTAATTGTTGCATGATAAATGCTAAAGCTATGAGTGAAGATTGCATAGAAAAGACAAAGTCTTATGCAGTCGTCTCACCTGACAGCTTGCAGGCGGTGGCCCATTTATTAACTTTAAACAGGACGAATGGACACACAACCAGAAGTGTACAAACACACACCAGACTCAATACTGTCACGAACCTGGCGTAAGATTCTGTGGAAAAGAGACAAAGTCTGACACAGCTGATAAAACATGATTTGTTTTTGTGAACGACAGAAATAAAGCATGAAAGGGAAACTGAGAGTTAGATAGCAACATATGAACAGAGACATTTCTTTTTTGTAAGATGCTAAAAAGAACAATAACATAATGTAGAACAAGAGAACGATAAGATCAAACAAACGACAGAAGAAACAAAAGAATGAATGAATGAACAAGAGACAGTCTCTCTCTATCTCTCTGTCAATTACTCATTCATTCATTCCACTGTTCGGTCTGTGTGCAATAAACAGTATGAACCAAATAACAAATGAATGATCTAAAGAATGAATAAACAGAGAGGATAAAAATGGATTGAATTAATAGAGGAATGAGCAAATGAATGACCAAATGACAGAAAGAAAGAACCAGTCATAGACAGTACAAACAACAGTATGAACGAAATATAGAATGAACGAACAAATAATACACAGAATGAACAACCGAATAAACAAATGGTGGAATGATTGAGCAAAAAACAGAATTAATGATTGAATAAATGTATGCATGACAAAAAGAATAGAATCAAATACGGTATAAACAATAAACAAAATTAATATAGAATAAACAATAAACAGTGTGAACTACAGAAGGAATAAATATATGACAGAATGAACTATGGAATGAACAGATGATAGTGAGAATGAACAAGAGAACAAATGAACACACAATAGACGGTACAAACTATAGATAGTACAGATAACAGACGAGTGAACTACTGAGCGAAAGATAGACAGAATGGAGGACAAAATGCATGAATGAATGAAACAAATTAATAAAAACCAATGAGCGAAAGACAGACAAAGCAAATGACCGAATGAATGAACAAATGATAGACTGACTATGCGAAAACAAATGATGGATTGAACAAGCAATATAGGCAGAATAGATGACAGAAAGAATGAACCAATCAACAAATGATAGACTGTACAAGATCAGACAGTTCACCCTGATCTCTAGTCTTGGCCTAGTTCTGTGCTGTGATATTTGCAGGACTGCTCGTGCTGTAGACAATCACTAAAACACAACATTTGAACAGAGATAATTATTATATTGTCTAAGCAGCTTTTGTATGATTGATCCTGCATTTCTGTTATACCTTTTGCTGCAGTTGTGGGTCTCTGTGCTTCACCTGCGCAGAGAAGAAGGAACGTGAAACTATCGAGATTCGTTCCTACAGCCACATTCACTTCTGCATTCAGTCATGTTTGTGTGAAAGAATAGACATTATAGCATGTTAAAGGATTCTCACCTCTAATGACAGTCAGTTGTATTTCATCACCAGTCAGATCAGGCAGCAGTTTAATATCCACACCGAACGAATAATTGCCAGAATCCTCTGCAACCAATCCCAAGATGGCAGCGGTGAGGACGTGCGCGGACGTGTTGTCGAATAGAGCGAATCGCCCCTGTTTTGCCCACCGGTTGGGATGAGACGTCTGAACCAGTTTCTCAAAGAAGAAGAAACCATCAGTTTTGCCGAAGTACTTGGAGTTTGTCTTGTAGTCCGGTGGATAAATGGCTTTAAAGGTTACATATTTTCCTTCATATCAGATCTTAACACAGCTAGTATCCAGTAGGCAGGCTGGAAATGAAGTTAAATGACAGTTAAAAAGTATTTCTAGATATTCAGTCATGATTCATGTAATACAGCAGGCATAAAGCACATAAGCAGCAGTCGATGTTACTGTATTTCCAACAAGTGGCAAATTTAAGATTAAGATGACCATTTGCAGAATAACTAGCAATTAATAACACAATTAGCCTAACTTGTTACAGTAATGCGCTTTTAAAGGCAAGAATCCACTTTTTCCAACGAGTGATGATTTGTCATTCCACTATATACAGTTTTACAGCAAAGCAAACTGATGTGAAAATAGCTGGATTTTAATCTTGATTTTATTTTTATTTTTTTCTGTCATATGAACCGGTCTTTTTACTGAATCTGTTTGTTCGGATTATACATTTCAAAGAAAGATAAAAATTTTTTTTTAAAAATTAGTATATAAGTATTTTTTTAAGTGATATACAAATTAATATTTTAATATTTAAATGTTCATATAATTTCATGTATATGTAATAATAATAATAATAATAATAATTTAATGTTAAAATGTTAATGGTGATATTTAGAGTAAATTGATCTGTTCAAATGTGTTAACTGCTGTCGCCATAAATTAGATCCTCATTTTTTTGTTCAATATATTATAGCAACAAAAGTAATTAAGTTTATTAGTAGATTAGGTCATTTGTAGCTTTACTTTTGAGTAACTTGAACGAGGACTAGCCTATGCCAAGCTACAGTTTCAAAGACAGTTTCCCCAGCAAAGTGATCGCTACAACTCACCTGTATAGATGCAGAAACAAAAGACTCTTGCTTTGCACATGCCGAATGGTTTTTAATTGATTCTGGTGTGTGCAGAGAATAAAACCGAATCTGTCTGGCAGGCTTTCTTTCACTTCCTTGTTACTATTTAGGACCAATCCTCAACCAAACTTGAGACTGTAGCTAGTTGTACAAAGCAGGCAGTTCAAATGCATTTTACTGAACTTTCTCAATATGACCAACTTCTCTGTCAATGTGAACTTTTCACCATATAAAAATGACTAAAAATGTAGCCATTTGTAGTATTTTCCATATTACACTGGTTTACACAGGAACATGCGATATTACACTTCATTATATTGTAAGTTTTTGACTATTTAAAGTGTTTGTCTGTTTAAAAGAAATGTGTAGCAAATTGGTTCAGTTGCTTGTTTCTTTAAAGATTGATTAATGTTAAGTAAAAAGCTAATAAAACTTGTTTTCAGAGAAACTGTTTAAGGATGTTTCAATATTTTTACTGGAGAGCAAGACAAAAATGCCAATGCAGAAAAAAGCAGCTGAAAATGCAGAGCAGACACAGGTGATAAGCAGAATAGTACGAGTTATAACTTTACAATAGTTTATTAGGCAGTTTCTGTTTCACAAATCTATACCTGAGACATATGAGCATGATTTCTGTATCTATTTAATAGGTAAAATACCATCTTAAGCTGGTTTTGTGAAAGCAACACATGACGTCTGGATGTTTGTAGCTGTCAGAAACTAGGATTCTGATTGGCTGAGGATTCGGTGTTCAGTCTCTCGTCTGATCAATAGTGTGATAGATCGACTCTTGAAGAGAATCAGCTGTGAGACTCTGATACACTTGACTCTGTCTATTGCTGTCCAGTTCTGTGTAGATCTGATCTTTTGTTTGTGCTGAAACAACATCAATGTAGTCAGCCGGTTCTGTGTTTGTATAATCTGGGTTTGTGGGTCTATAAAGTTCCTCTCTTTCACTTTGAACTTTGGGTAAGTCTGGAAGGTCACGGTGTGTTCTCTGGTGGCCATCCTATATGAAATAAATACATATGATCAGGTTAATCAGAAAATGATATGCTGATAACAGTATGATATGTTGTAGAAGTGCATGAACTCACCGGCACTGGGTTTGATATAGTTCTGGTGCGGTGGAGAACAGAACCTGATCAGAACAGAAAAAGATTTAAGTGACTGATTTTTCTTAAATGGCTCATTATAATGTTATATTATCTATTATACCATGAATAGATGTGTAGTCTTGTTTGTTCTTGTTTATTTATTTATTTTTTAATTATAATGAAATGAAGTTTTTTGCAAGTAAAATAAGTGTTCAGTTATTTAAAATGTTGTTATTTCTTATTTGCTGCTATACAATTATATTATGTATATTTTGGCATTATATCAGCCATGTTACTCTGAAGATTTTCCCGTTAAAGTATCTTGGGCTTCAACAGAGAGTGTTAAAGTGAAGTCCAAGTGACTTTCTGTATCAGGTGAGACATATTAGCATGTGTTGTTGAACTGTAGATCATGTGGTTTCAAATAAATCACGTGGTGTTGGTGTGCTTGAGATGATCCACAGAGATCTGCTCACTTGAATTGCTGCGGCTGTTGTGCTTGAGGACTTGTAACAGGCCGAACAGACACACGAAAAACAGGGCGCCAACACACATCAAAGCCACCATCATCATGAACCTCGAGTAAGACTCTGTCGATGCAAAGCTGACAATGACTAGCCTGAAAAAAGCAAAACCACATGGTCTGTGTGTGTGTGTGTGTGTCTGTGTTTCGTAAACTCACCGCCAGGCTCTTCCGGGAACAGGTCTGTGGTTTGCTCTTGTGGATGTTCTGCACAGAAAACAAAAGTGAAAGGTGTGTAGTTAATCCTCATATACAGAAACCTTGGCTGGCATTCATTTACCCCCGTATGTGTGTGTGAGTTCACTTCTCACACTGACTCATTACGAGAAGTGTAAGAGGAAGACCATGCTGTATCACATCCCATCTGAAACCCATATGAGACTCAGTGGCACCTCAAAAATCCCCATAACTGATATACGTCAGTGTTTATGATGCCAAACAGATAGTGATCTCAATTATAATCACAACATGGGTTTGTGACAAATGGACATGGAGGTTTTATTTATTTATTTGGTCATCATGAAGGTTTTAGGTTTCACTATATTATTTCAATAGTCCTGCTGTGTAACAATGGTTATAAAATATCATCATGGTTCAGTTGACAGTAAGTCTCATAAACCACATGCACAATGTAAAAGCAGTTGTTTAAAATAACTTTAGATAGAGACCGAATGTATTTTTTTCCAACAGTTAGACTCCCTGCTGCATTCATGCAAACTGATAAAGTTTCTTGTTTATTAATGCTAAAAATCTCTTTATTATGCGTAGACATCACACTGGAGAGCTGAATAATTGAACATGGAAGTAATTCCTTATAAATATTACAAGTTCATTCGATTGTAGAAGGTAAACCTCACCAATCCCAATCGTAGAGGATGTTTTTTTTTTTTTCGCCTCTATTGCGGTTACTTTGATGTAAGTGTTGCATTTTTACGTACGTTTCTGATGTTCATGTGTTTTTAAACTTTGCCAGTTTAAAGTTTAAAGCGATGTTAAAATGCAATAAGGCGTAAGAGAACTCCATTCGGCAATCGCATCGCTCTGATTTTCCGATTTTAAATGTAAATCCGGCTCTGAAATTGCAATGCAATCTAAAATTTTCAGCAAAAATAACTATGTTGTGATTTAGATCGTTATTGTGAAACCTCTGATATTTTATGTTTTGGTCCTATTGCTCACCCCTCCTTTGGTGTTTTTTTAATTTTTAAAATTTTTTTTTACTTGTCTGTTTATTTGACATTATTATTATTATTATTATTTTAACTTGTTAATTAATTTGTTTAACTTTATTATTTATATGTATTTGCTTATTTTTTTGGCTATTTTTAAGGTAGCATTTCATGATCAATTCAGTTCAGTTTGAACACAATTTGAACAGATAATTGTGTGTTTATGGACAAAATCAGTGTTTTTTGCTGTAAATAAATGAATAAACATAAAGCCTTTTTCTTTGAGGACAGTAAAATTACACATCACATCAACTTTTAAGGACATTGAGCATAGTGCGTATTCAGCTATTGTGTATCTCACCTTTGGTGACTGTTATCCAGATCTCTGTGGTGAAATCTGGCAGCAGAGCGATATCCACACCACACCAGTACTTTCCCGAGTCTTCTGGAGCCAGTCTAGAGATGTTTGCTGAAAGAAGATGAGCACTGGTGTCATCCAGAAGAGCGACTCTCCCTCGTTCAGACCTCGTCTCTGGTTGGGTGGTGTGAACACACTGAAGATCTCCTGGAGCAAATGAGCCACTCATCTGGCAGAAGTACTTGCTGTTGTTCTCATAGGTTTCAGGATAGCTGCAGCTGACTGAGATGTTGCTTCCCTCAGATCCAGTGATGTTAACAGCCAGCGAGTTCTCCATCAGCCACAGTGCTGAAAGACCAAGAACTGCTGACAGATGCCATTTCAGAGTTAGTATGGTGAATTTTGGAGTTTATCAATGAAATCAAGCACAGTGAAGAGTAAAACATGCTATTCTCACACACTGAATATATTATGACAGATATCGTACCTGAGAAACTGATGGACGTGGAGATTCTCATGACTGCCTGCTTCAACCTCAACTCACACTACCTGTTCTCATGCTAACTATTTGGTAGATATTGTGTGTGTGTGTTCAGTTGTGTGTGAGTTACACTTCCCTAATGCACATGGTTAAGTAAACACAAACACAGTGTCAGTCTGATCTGAAAAACAGCTCCCTCTTCAGGGCAGCAAAGGTAAAGTCTGGCCATCCTCAAGGTTAAATGATTAAAGGGGTCATATGATGCGATTTCAATTTTTCCTTTCTCTTTGAAGTGTTACAAGCTCTTGGTGCATAAAGAAGATCTGTAAAGTTGCAAAGACTAAAGTCTCAAATTCAAAGAGATATTCTTTATAAAAGTTAAGAGTCAACCATGCCCGGTGGGTTACAACCAATCTTAGATCTGCGCTTTTTTAACCGGGCCCTTCCCAACCTACCATTCAAGATGCTCATGCAGAAGCACATCTTCAGCTGCATCCATCCCCGAGATTGGTTTGCAGCGAAAGCGAAACTACTTTGTTTAGCCTTCCAAAAGAGGACACGACTACATTTTTCAGAAAGGCGGGGCATAGAGGAGAAATAATAATGTACAGTATGTGGAAAATAATGTGTTTTTTTAACCTTAAACCGCATAAACACATTTCATTACACCAAATACACAAAATAATGTTCTTTTTAGCAGCATCATATGACCCCTTTAAGGCGAGACACTGCAGGTGAATAGGGTAAAACAATTAACTAATAGTCATCACCTTACTTACCCAGTTGATTGATTACATTGATAATTGCAAACATTTTTTGCATTACAAGTTTTTTAAAATGTTATGTTTAAATATGCAAATGAGGCAATATTATCATTAGTGCATACATTAAATATGCACTAATTTGTAAATATGCACTAATTTGCATAACTTTCTAGTACAAAAATCTGAACACTGGATGAAGTCAGTTACAAAATAATTTTTTTAATTTTTTTATTTTTTTTTACATATTACAGTAAAATCTTTTTACAGAGGGAATTTTGGGTATCTCTTTTTGTCACTCCATAATTCAGAAAATACTTTTTTTCTAGGGACAAGAGTTGCGAATTAACGTCAGGTATGATCTCTATGTGCAGTGCATTTTTTCCAGTCTTTGACTGGAATTATGTTTATTGTATTGTCCCTATTCAAATTAACTTTAAAATAAAATAAATAAACAGCCAGAAAACAATAAATTTTCACAATTTTGGGGGGAATAAAATGTTGTATACAATCAAGCAAATTATATATGAACAAATCCCTCTGTAAAATCCTTAAGAATATAGACAGGAATAAAAAACATTAAAAGATTTATGGCCCAGTGTAGGATAAAAAAAACGAATTTTGAGAAAACGGCCTTTAAAAATATGTATTGTAATTTAAATATATTGACACAAATAGATAAAGTGCTATGAAAGAAACACTTAACAGTGTCTTGTGGGTGTTTTCTTTCCACTAGTCTTGAAAAACACTTTATGAAAAGCCAAAAAGCCCCAAATCTCAAAATCGACAGGTGCATGAAAAAACAATGTTCCCTTTCAGTCGGTCACTCTCGAGTTCACATCGGTTATGACCAACGAATTGGGATCTCACTTAGAGAGACCAGTCCACTTTGAGTGTAAACTAAACGAGCCAATGCCCATTGGCATGCGATGATTGCATCCAGCTGCCGCTGGTTGCAGCGCAAGTATAAGTAGGCAGCTGGTGCAATGCATACTCAGCTTTTCGCTTCGGAGCCGAGCGGTTATATTGTTCTGCTCCTGACTTCTCTGCTACAGAGTAAAGACTCAACGAGTTCAGCGCACTCTTGGGAAGCTCTGGTGTTGGCGGTATGGCGCTTCAGCAGCGGTGGTTCTTCCCGTGTTGAGTGGGTTGCACACATCAGGCTGCACTATCCCCTGTTTGTGTTGCAGGCGGCCAGCACCCCTGTGCGCTTCAGCACACTTAAAAGAGCAATCTCGAAAAGAGCATTCTTGGGTGGACGTCTTTTTAAAGATGCCTTTTCACCCATGCGTTTCTGGATGCCGTCGGTACCTGGTGCCGGGTGATGGTCACGATCGCTGCCTCACGTGTCTGGGCGTTAAGCACGCTGAGGCAGCATTTGTGGACGAGTCATGCTCTCATTGCAGGAAAATGACAGTTTCGGAGTTGCGGACCAGGCTCTGTTTCTTGCAAAGGGGTGGGGTTCCTGTGCCTCTGCCTAGATCTAGTGTTCCCCCTGGCAAGAGCTAAGGAACTAAGGAACCAACCTGCGAGGGCTCCTCCTTCCACCAGCACTTCGCAGCCAGTGGAGCTGCCCAGGGAACAGGCTGGACCCTCCCGTGGGGTACCACTTGTATTCTTCGGCGCTCCCCCCGACGATGGTATGTCGATTGCTGCATCGGAGGGTAAGCCAGACCTTTTTGGAGATGATGATCTGGCAGTGATGCCGGATTCGTATCCGGAAATGGTGGCTATGCTTGCCCGGGCTGCTGAGAGGGTTGGGCTCGAGAGGAAGCCTCCACCTCGCCCCGAGCCCTCGAGGCTGGATGATTGGTTTCTCGGGGTGGCTCGCACTGGTTCTCAGGGCCCAACCACAGTGCTTTTCTTCCCGGAAGTGCATGATGAGCTCACTGGGTCATGGATGGCACCTTTCACTGCCAGAAACCGCCTCGGTGGCTCATCCTCCCTCACCACCCTCGATGGTGGGGCAGCGCGGGGGTATATGGAAGTCCCTCCGGTGGAGTGGTCGGTTACTATGCAATTGTGTCCAAATACCGCTGCCACCTGGCGGGGCAAGCCGTCGCTCCCCTCCCGGGCCTGCAGGTACTCGTCGGCCCTGACCAGCAGTGCTCATGCGGCCTGTGGAGAAGCTGCCTCTGTCCTGCACGCCATGGCGTTGTTGCAGGTTCATCAGGCCAAGGCACTGAAGGACCTGCACGAAAGTGGGCAAGCCCCAGAAGTTATTAAAGAGCTCCACACCGCTACTGACCTCGCCCTACGAGCGACGAAGGTCCCTGCGCGGTCTCTGGGCCGTGCGATGTCCACTATGGTGGTCCAGGAACGCCATCTCTGGCTGTGACAAGACTCGGTTTTTAAATGCCCCCGTGTCCCAGACCGGCCTCTTCGGCGACACAGTGGAGATCTTCGCCCAGCAGTTCTCCGCCGCACAGAAGCAGACCGAGGCCATCAAACACATCCTGCCCCGGCGTGCAGCTGCTGCCTCCACCCGGCCGCCTGCGGCAGCGCCTCAGTCTGCTCGTCACCGAGGGCGGCCCCTGCCCCCTGCCGCCGCCCACGCTCCCGCACAGCAAACACAGCAGCCTCGTGCAAAGCCGTGGAGCCGGTCGCAGGGCACACAGACAGAGCCCGCTTTGGACTGGCTACGAGATGACCGGGCCATGTCCCTATGTTCCTCTTCGCTGCCCCACTGCGGGTACGTCGGTGGTTCTGTTGGTGCCGCTTGTTCGGTATCTGGGGGCCTGGCTAGCGCTTCCCAGTCCATCTCGCTGGCTTCTTTAAACCATCAGACTCGGCTATGCGATTCAGTTCGCCCTGCGTCCTCCCAAGTTCAGGGGCGTCCACTTCACTTCAGTGAAGGCTGCAGATGCCCCTGTCTTGCGTGCAGAGATCGCAGTCCTACTGGCGAAGGATGCGATATAGCCTTTCCCTCCAGCCGATATGAAGATGGGGATTTATGGGCTCCTTCGTCGAATCCACCGGCCGCGCCGTTCTCAAGCCCGCCTGCCTCTGCTCACTCAAGCCGGCCTCCGCTCACTCTAGGCCGCGGCTCACTCTAGGCCTCCGGGATTTATAGCCCTTACTTCATTGTACCCAAAAAAGGTGGTGGGTTACAACCAATCTTAGATCTGCGCTTTTTTAACCGGGCCCTTCCCAAGCTACCATTCAAGATGCTCACGCAGAAGCACATCTTCGGGTGCATTCGTCCCCAAGATTGGTTTGCAGCGATCGACCTGAAGGACCAGACTTTCATGTTTCGGGCCTTCGGGTCAACTGGGAAAAGAGCAAACTCTCCCCGATGCAGTGGATCTCTTTTCTCGTTATGGAGTTGAATTCGGTCAAACAAACAGCACGCCTTACGCAGGAACATGCTCAGTCGGTGTTGAACTGCCTGGATATGTTCAAGAACAGGACAGCGGTCCCACTGAAACAGTTTCAGAGGCTCCTGGGGCATATGGCAGCTGAAGACCCCTGAATATGCCCGATCAGGGTTGTGCTGTCCTTTTTGCAGCAGGGGTTGGAGCGAAGACTGTCTCCCTCCACCCTTAAAGTCTATGTGGCTGCCAATCACGACCCCATGGAAGGGAAGTCGGTAGGGAAGCATGACCTGGTCATCAGGTTCCTTAGGGGGCGAGAAGGTTAAATCCTCCCCGTCCCCCCTCTATACCCTCTTAGGTTCTGTCTCTAGTGCTCAAAGCACTACAGCAGGGCCCATTTGAGCCTTTGCAGACGGTTGAGCTGAAGTTCCTCTCAATGAAGAC